CCAGTTCCCTTGGCAGAAAAAAACACTTATATAAAGACTTTTTTTACATAGTTTAGGAGAGTTTAGCATATTTTCTGCTAAAAAAAACAAACTCAAGTTTTTTTTTCCTGCCTCTAACATTGATCCTCTAATCATCTTAATGTGCATGAACACATAGGATAACATTAGCTGTTTCTACAGGCAAAACACAAAACTCTGGTAGAAGCAGCGATTTTTAAGCCAGTGTGCTAATGCATTTAAAAAAACTTATCTTAAGGAAAGCATTTTACTGATCACTTACACGGGAGCTTTTGTTCCAGAAAAACCCTTCCTCTATGATCAGTAAAATTCTTATGGTGGTGTGCATGTAGCCTTATAGTTTTGTATTACCACCTATTACCACTATTATTGTCACCACTAACTGTGCTATGCTGATAATAATCATCATCATTTTGTTGTATTATTGTTATATTATTATTATTCTGTTAGATGTAAAAATTATTTTCATAAATAGTAATACTGGAAAAGCTCCTTACTAAAATGGTAATTTTTTGACTCCATAATAATAGTAAAATGATTTTACTAGAATGTGATTTGCATATAAAAAGTTAAAAAATCTATCTAGACAAAAAACTTTTCTGCCAGCCTTTCAGTGGTAAAGTGTTATCATAATGTCACCCTAGGTGGTGTCATGGTGAATAAACTCTTCAGAGAAGTGTGAAGCAGGATGCAATCCTATGCAGACTGGGTTCTATTTACTAAAACTGGTGAGTGCAAAATCAGACTCACTTCTGCATAGAAAATTAAAATAAACAGTGCAGCGCTAAATGCAAAATGAATATATATAATCAATAAATACATGATGCAATTAATCAAACACAATATACCCCTACAGGTATAAAACCAAAGTGATCAATAAATAATTAATAGTGTCATACGTGTATATCCTTATAGGGAATATTTCGTGCAAAAAGTGACACATATAATCATAAATAATAAAGTGACAAAACACATAACAGTGCTCAAAACAAAGATGAACCAATCTTCAGTTGCAAGAAAAGTCCAAATAATCGATAATAATGATACTAATGATGACGCAATGCTTAGTGCAGGTTTTCACACTTCACTCTTCATGCAAAGTAATGTGCAGTGTGCGTGATTCATACGTGACAAATCCTTTAACGGCTAAAATGCCCCCTCACCTCCTTACTTAGACCCCAAAGGGCCAGCACGCTTTAAGGATCACACGATCCTATCAGAGTGGATTCCTCTCTGGGTATCGCCTTCCACCTCCAGCTTCCACCTGATTAGCAGCCAGCTCCTCCCAGGGTCATAATGAAATACAGAGACCCTCCATAGTGCAACCAGTTTTATTCAGCAATAAATCGGTAGAAAATAGAGTTCCACTCACATTTAAGGACGAAGCAATCCAGCCTCCTACCACATGCTATGGGTGTACTGCATGGATACTTCACAGGGTGATCCAATATGGCCCCCACGCCGGAAATGACGTCACCGCGTTAACGGAAGCTCCTCCCCACGTACCGACGCATTGCGTCACGCTCAGCACGTGACTTCATCAGGGTGGAAGGCGATACCCAGAGAGGAATCCAGTCTGATAGGATCGTGTGATCCTTAAAGCGTGCTGGCCCTTTGGGGTCTAAGTAAGGAGGTGAGGGGGCATTTTAGCCGTTAAAGGGTTGTCACGTGTGAATCACGCACACTGCACATTACTTTGCTTGAAGAGTGAAGTGTGAAGACCTGCACTAAGCATTGCGTCATCATTAGTATCATTATTATCGATTATTTGGACTTTTCTTGCAACTGAAGATTGGTTCATCTTTGTTTTGAGCACTGTTATGTGTTTTGTTACTTTATTATTTATGATTATATGTGTCACTTTTTGCACGAAATATTCCCTATAAGGATATACACGTATGACACTATTAATTATTTATTGATCACTTTGGTTTTATACCTGTAGGGGTATATTGTGTTTGATTAATTGCATCACGTATTTATTGATTATATATATTCATTTTGCATTTAGCGCTGCACTGTTTATTTTAATTGTTTATTTACTTATTTTGGGTATAAGTTTAGTGCCAGCAGCTTTGTTCTAAGGGTAGGATTCCATGTAAGCGCAGGAGGTTTTTTGTGAATTATTCTGCATAGAAACCAATCAGCTTCTAACCTCAGCCTGTTCACTTAAACTTTGTCAATAAACCCTGGAAGCTGATTTGCACTCTTCAGCTTTAGTAAATAAACCGCACTCTGCCAATGAATTACGGATTGCTCAGTGAATGCGATGAAGCTCTGCTCACATCCAATCTCCAGTCATGTGCAAGCAAAAATGCTTTTTTTTCCTTTGTATTTACCTTGCATGTGACTGGGTATTCTTTGCAAAGTGAAATGCCACCCCTATCACTAAGATCTGGGGAAAATTCTCTTGCAAAGTGCAACTCCCCTGGCAAAAGTGAACAGCCTTTTTGTCTTTAGTAAATAAGGTGTCCGTTTATGAAACTGAGATTAGCAGCAATCCTGAGGATCACTGCTGACTTCAGTACATTGGTGGTTTATGATACAGCAAAGATCAGTAAATAACATGTTCTCTGCTGATCTTCTCTCCACACAGAGAATCTGCAATTGGCAGACACAGAAACGGCTAGTTTATGAAGGAGCGATGTCAGCCCTTCACTGGTGATCTGTGTGAAAATTCTCCCTCCCAGATTCTCCAGCCCAGAGGTGGAGAATCGGGGCAAGAAGGGAGAATCGCTGGAGTTTGAAGAGGAAGGAGGAAGTTTTTGGACTTTCTTCTTCTTCCTTCAGAGCCTCCAAGACCGTGGGAAAGGTGGGGGGGGGGGGCCTTTCACAACACCCCCAAAACCCTACGGCAATTTATAAATATATTTGTGTTTATATATGTATATATATATATATATATATATACAGCTGTCAGTTTATTAAACAGTGGTAAATTACCTCTGTTGAGGTGGCGGCTCTCCTCAGTACACACATACACTATAATAAAAGAAGAAAAAATTATGTGTGTGTATGTATGTGTATATAGATACAAATAATACACACATATATAAATATATATATATATATATATGTGTGTGTGTATTATTTGTGTGTATATATATATATATATATATATATATATATACATGCACATAATTTTTTTTTATTATTGTGTATGTGTGTACTGCGGAGAGCCGCCACCTCAACAGAGGTAATTTACCACTGTTTAATAAACTGGCAGCTGTGTGTTTTACTGATCTCTTGTTGCTGTGATCTCGCTAGATCTCACGAGATTACAGCAACAACAGTCGTTTTGCAGAGTTCAAAGCATTTGTAGATCGCTTCTTTCCTCATCAGGAGAAGCGATCTACACCGCTTCATAAACAGGCACTCAGAGGAGAGCTGTCTCTCTCTCTCTCTCTCTCTCTCTCTCTCTCTCTCTCTCTATATATATATACACACACACACATTCTCACACATGTATAATAGATATATAATAATCATCATCCTATTAGCTGAAAAAAAATAATTTCACATCCTGTTATCTTAAATAAAAATAAGAAGAAAAATCCTGGAACATCCTATAACCTGAAATATTATTATTATAATAATAAATACTGCAGCATCCTATTGCCTGAATCAATAATAATTATAATAAGAATATAACCTCATATTACCTGAAATAACAATTATAAAATTAACACTAAAACATTCTATTACCTGAAATATTAGTAAAAGCAACACGAATAATGAAAAAAATTATTATTATTATAAATTATATAATAATAATGGAACATCCTATTACCCGAAAAAAGTATTTAAAGCTAATAAGCTAATAGACTGCACAGTATTGGTAGGAAGATTATGCTTTAAAGTTATTATACTAATAATCACATTATTATTATTATGATGATGATTTTTATTAATATGATTATTATATCATCATCATTAATATTATTAGTATTGTTATTATTTTTAAAAGTAGTTTTCAGCACACAAAGATTACAACTCTAAAACATTTAAAAACCAATCCGTTTATTATAGAATAAATCACAAGGCTGTCTTGTCTTTCCAACTGTAGTTTATAAATTAGAGGGAAACGTACATCATCTTAAAAAAAAAAAAAGATCCATTGACAACAAGAACATTATGGAGCCCTCTGCTGCAGGCTACCTCTACAGGATCATCTCCATAAAGCAGGCCAGGCAGTCTGGCTATCCTTAGGAAGACTCTGTCCTACCATCAATCTTCACATTGGCTATGAAAAAATACATATTTATAGTAGGAAAGTGCTAGGGGCAGTGTCAGATCCTCATGGGGTAGGACGTTCTGATGAAAGAAGGGGCTCTGATAGTAGGGAAGGAACATCAGACTTGGAAAGGCAGGAAGATTTTGGAATGTCAGAAACCCCCTTCCCAGATCCTACCAGTTACCCCCACGAGAGTCATTTAGGGACTGGCAGTCCTTGATTCAGTATTCATTTCCCAGCTAGCACCTTTTGTTGGTTTCCAACCAAGTCCAGTCTATAAAAATATATGTTGTTATAATATGTAAAACGTTATACATAGTTCAAACAGCATGGATACCATGGAGGAAGCCTGCCTGGTTTGATCTGGTGATGGAGTCAGCAGGCTGATTAGGGGATAGCCCCAGCTCCCCTGATTTCGGACAGTGATGAGTATAATAAATAGCGTCTGCTTTAAGGAGTCCCTCCAGTACAGGCTGCAGCGGCTGCAGCGGCGGCTGCGGCAGCCGATAGCGTCCAGCCAGGCAAGGCACAATAGTAGGGGTAATAGTATGGGGGCTGTAGGGGGACTAGGGACGGCCGCAGCACCTCCCCAGGCTGGTACTGTCTCTGATCGTCCCTCACCAGGACCTTAACTGCCACTTTCTTGGCGGCCGGGGCCGTGGCCATCATGTCTGCAGCCATTTGCCGTCGTTTGGTCTCTTGTAGCGCCGGTTCTGGAACCAGATCTTCACCTGGGTCTCCGTCAGCTTCAGGGAGGCGGCCAAGTCGGCCCGTTCTGGTCCCGACAGGTAGCGCTGGTGGTTAAAGCGTCTCTCCAACTCAAAGACCTGAGCGTGCGAGAAGGCGGCCCGGGAGCGCTTCTTCCTCTGCTTGGGGGCCTCCAGGAGGAGCGGATCACACTTGGGGTCCTCATCGGGGGGGCTGGGATCTGCGGAGACATCGGCCTGTTAGTACCACCGGCTACAATCATCCAGGATAACAGGGTTCATTACATTCAGTGGACTAATTACATTCATACTGGATCATCCAGGCAATGATCAAGAAGCTTCATCAAGTGGGCAATCAATGCATACATCAACAAAGAAATATATGACCAATCAACAAATCATAAATACAATAAATGGATCACCCAAGTCATCAATCCACCAGAAAAATAATAATATAATAATAATAATAATAATAATAATAATAATGTGTGTATATATATATATATATATTTATTTATTTTTTTTATTCAAATAAACTATATTGCCTCCTAATGTGCCTGATTTATTATTCACATACATTCCACCAAGCTGATTGTGTATTGAATCCTGTAAATTTACTATGAACAGGGTCTTGCTTTATGTCCCACCATTTATCTCTTATGATTTCTACACATAAAATAGCTGATTTACTAAAGGAAACATTTGATTCTGAAGCGTCCAATCAGGTACAGGGGAATTAAATAGAAAATAAAAAGGATACCACAAAGCAGTATTAAAGCAATCCTTACATACTAAAGTGAATGTCCACTAGTAATTAAAATTAATAAAATGAAGCTGTGTTCACTTCAAAAAATCCTGTTTTGTTTCCTTCTTTCTTTCTTTTTTTTTGTACAGGATAAACCTTGCACATGGTGTCCGTTTATGGACCAGCGGTAATAGATCGCTGCTCAGTTCTCCGGCATTCTCGGAGAACACAGTTCTCCTGTGAATGCAGTTTATGAAGCAGCTCTCCGAACGAAGGGAGAACGGTCTCCAAACGCTGGAGAACGGTCTACAAACTCTGGAAAACGGCTCATTTTACTATAATCTGGAGAGATTACAGTAAAAGATCAGTTTACTAAACAGAGGTAAATTATCTCTGCTTAGCTTGCGGTCCCTCTGATTCTCCAGCTCTGGGCTGGAGAGTCTGGAGGGAGAACACAGATCTCCAGTGAAGGGCTGACATGATCTCCAGAGTGTCATAAACTGTGAATGACCAGAGAATAGCTGAGATCCGTTGAATCGCAGCTAATCTCTGTGTCATAAACGGACATATTGGGTGTTCATAGTGAGCACAGCTTTATTCAGTAACCTAATTGAACATTATCTAATCAACTCCAGCTTATAATCGGTGTAATTGAAAATATCCAAGTGTTATGGCCTATTATGCTCTGCATTATTTTATATGTGTATCAGCAAGCAAGGAAGCTATATTAAGAATTATTAGTTTTACATGTAATAACTATTAATAATTCGGAATGATAGAATTATTAATATTAGATGAATGGAAATATGGATGACAGATACCAGCTGGCTAGATCAAGAAAGAAAAAGAAAGAAAAGAAAGAAAGAAAGAAAGAAAGAAGAAAGAAAGAAAAAGAAAGAAAGAAAAAAAGAAAGAAAGAAAGAAAGAAAGAAAGAAAGAAAGAAAGAAAGAAAGAAAGAAAAAGAAAGGAAATAAAAGTACTATACGTCCAAAGGAGATAGGACACCATGCTTGCAGATGTAGATAAGTAGCTCTATTTCAACAGGTCCACGTTCATTTAGCACCTTTTTAGCATCTACACTCTTTATGAAGCTTACCAGTACTCCATATTAGGCTGTCCATGCATTATGCAAATGTATTGTACATCTTTCCTTTAGATTTACCAAAACTATATAATATGAGGTCAGACCTAAACACTTTCAGTTTGTATGCTGTGGGGCAGGCCCTTGCACTACATAGTTGAAGGTAAATCTAAAGGAAATTGAACAAGAATAATCTATAATGTATGGCCAGCTTAAGTAATATTAATTAATATTAGATGGATGGATAAAGATGGGCGGTAACACCTAGCTGGAAAAATATATGTACCTATATTTTAAGAAAGAAAGAGACAGAGAGAGAGAGAGGGGGGGGGGGAGAGAGAGAGAGAAAGAAAGAAAGAAAAAAGGAAAGAAAGAAAGAAAGAAAGAAAGAAAGAGAAAGAAAAGAAAGAGAGAAGGGAGAAAGAAAAAGAAAGAGAGAAAGAAAGGAGAAGAAAGAGAAAGAAAGAAAGAAAAGAAAGAAAGAAAGAAAGAAAGAAAGAAAGAAAGAAGAAAGAAAGAAAAATAAAAGAAAGAAAGAAAAGAAAGAAAAAAGAAAGAAAGAAAGAAGAAATTATACAAGGAGATAGAAGAACCCCTTGCTTACTGCTGTAATAGAGTATGTTAACATGTCCAAGTTCAGGTAGCACCCTGTTTTAGCATCCACACTCTTTATGAAATCCACCAGTAGTACATTCAAAGGGAACAATTCCTAAATACATGAGAGGTAGCATACCATATTCATACAAGTAGGTAGTAAGTCGATATTTTATCTCCTGAAATATGCACAAGCCTCCAATGCACTGTGTTGTCCAGGGCTGGTGAGGGGCTGACAGGCAGATGCCCCCATCCTACAGAGAGACATTCCGCTCCTATACTATGCTGATCATGTACAAGAGGGCCTTCTAGGCTAGGAGGTCAGAAGTTAATTTTGGTTACAGAACTTAATACCTCAGCAAGGGGAGAGGCCAGGAGGTCACCAGCACTGTGCATCTGACACTGACTGGCAGCCATAGGGCACAGAGACCTCCATACACCATGATGTACCCACTGCACAACAGCAGAGACACAGCAGAGCAGCTGCACACATGTCGTTTATTAAAGATTGTACATTTAAGGAAATTAAAATTCACCGAGAGTAGCAAATAAATTGAAACTGTGCTGCATTAATCGCATACTAGATAAAAATCCTATTTTTTTTTTAAATTTTCCTAGCACGACTGGGTATTCAAAGCGAGCAAAACTTTGCCTAATTACTGTCATTGACTATGCAAAGTCCCTGCTCTTAGTAAATCACCATCCCATGTGCTAGGTTGTGTGCTGCCCATAGGGTGCTCATCAGCCCGCGAAGTTCTACGCCAGTGATAGTGAAGAATAAATGATAGGATCAGCACACAACCTATAGTCATCCTCTAACAACCAGATACATTGTCCAAAAATAATCTCACAGACTTCACAATACTTCCCTGAAATAAATGCAGAAACGCACATTTATCTATTATACTCTTTTTTTACATATCTATATTATAAATACAGCGCATTTACCGCAGTTGCCGCATGTATAAATATGTAACATATAAAAATATATACTAGTTAATAGTTGTATTCAATTTTTATATGTATGTATATTGCTGAAAATCGTTCGATTTCAATGACAGTCAGCAGCTACATGAAGACAATGTATTTTTTTAATTTATTCATTGTATCATTTCGGAATAATTATAAAAGATTCCCGATCCCACTGTGAATATATTTATTTTATTGAGTATATTTGTCAATGTTTTCACTCAGGATTCACACATTTTCCCTATAATATTTTGATTATTATTTTTTTTTATTTTTAGATTTTTTTATTTATTTATTTTTTAATTTAGATCTCGCAGTGCGAAGGAAATATATATAGTCACATCTATGTATATTATGAAGGCCTTTCTAGTTATATCAGGTTCGTTTTTTATTATAATTAGATATAACTTATTTATAATTTTGTATATATCTGTGCTGAGAAAAATGTCAATAATTTTCTGAATAAAATATTTCTATATAATGCATAGAATATGTATGCAGATTCTAATATGTAGATCTATACATGTAGATTATACTTTTTATAGACATTCCATCTGGCAGATATAAAAAAAATTATTCCCAGCTGCGATACTTTATAATATCGATGTAAAATACACTTTTTATTACACTTTTAGTTCTGTACTGTTGTAAACACACGACAAAACCTCAAAAGCCAAGCAAAACACTAATATGTTCAACATTTGTAACCTACTACCAAATCGTCCACAGAATAAGAATACGACCATTGTATACACAGGTACTGTTGCTCCAGATGTGGGGAATAAGCTGAAGCTCTGGTTTTGTTTGGGTGTACATCACACCATACAGACACAATAAGAATTTCCTGACACCTCCCTGAAAGCTGGAGCCACGCCCACACGATGACAGGACAGTCATAGGGGAGAGAGAGTGACACATCCCTTGTAATGAAAACACCACACACTCATCTTCATAATTACACTCATCAAATCCTCATTTTAGTAAATGAAGCAAATGGAAAAGTCAAGCATCAACAATAATCCACTAAACCACGCAAAAGTGAAACAAAAACAAAGGTAAAAAATGATTATTATAAAACAAGTACAACAACTATTATTACTGCAACTATTACACTGAACGTTACTTGGAATACTAGCAGGCTTATCATTGGCATTTTAATTACCATGCAAAGTAAAAGTATTTGTCATGGTACTGGTATATATAAATTGGAAAAATAGATATTTCCAATTAAAATAAAAATGTTATATATATATATATATATAATATATATATATATATATATATATATATATATATATATATATATATATATATATATATATATATAAAACACAGTATATGTGTATGTTCAATATTGCTATAAAAATAATATAATAATAGGACATTACAGAGAATGGTAGTGGTGTTTAATTATCATTAATAATAACTAGGAATAGTCCCATTCTCCCAAACTTGTTCTATAATGTTTTATTATTACAGAACAAATAACTCACTACATCACAGACAATAGCAATAGTAATAAATTCTTCATGAATTTTCGACACGATGTAAGCTTTCAATTCTTTTGGAAGGACTTGTGTAGCATTTAAATAAACATTGTACTATTGTACTATTACTCTCATGATAAGTGGATTTGCCCCACTTCGATTAAAAAACTGGCTTGTATAAAGAAAAAAAGACACACACACAAAAAAAAATTATATATATATATATATATATATATATATATAAAAGAACGAGAGAAAATACACACACACATTATATATATAATATATATATATATATATATATATATATATATATGTGTGTGTGTGTG